AAAGGAAAAGAAATTATCTGTGAAACCCACTTGCATTTATTGCATAAACTAAAGAAAAAAGGTAATAATAGAATGATAACTTAGTTTATATCAAATGGAATATTTAATTTATTATTTTAATGGGATTTTTGCATTAACTAATTTTAACATGTCAAGATTGACAGTGTCCACAGGAACGATTCTGGAGGGCCACACGATCACCGTCAGATGGAGTATAACTGCGAGCGTCTGTTGGTTTATACTTCGACGAAGCACACTGTGATCTATACATTGTTGATGCATACATGGGATTACTGAAGGTAGGGCGCAAAGGGGGCTTGGCCACTAAGATCACCACACATGCACAAGGAATTCCCTTGATATTCAGTAATAGTTTGGACATTGACCAATCAAGTGGTGCCATTTATTTTACTGATAATAGTTCGCAGTATCAAAGAAGGTAAGTGAGTGAAACACTATATTTTTCTATACCCATTTATTTAATTATATTATTTGGAGAATATTTTGTTTATGCTCATAAAGTCCTCAATCCACCTATTCTCTATTGCGTCTTTAAACTAATTGTTTTCTCAATTGAATCTGTAATTGATTTTTTTAATAAAAAATCATCAATTCAATACTCCATCTATATCTATTAATATTTTTGGTCAAACGATCATATAGTATGAAATGAAAAGACACCTTTGAATATAATTTGGTAGTTTGTATTTTTGTTATAATGATTGGCACATACTTTGACTTTTAATTGAGGCTATTCAATATCTATGGGCTGCGGATGGATTTTCTTTTAGTCACAAATCTAAAGCTTTTGGATTGTGTACATCCCATTATAGATATAGCTTCAAAAACTAAGCCGGAGTAATAATTTTTTTTTACTAGAAATTAATCATCATTCGTCCCTCTACTTTTTGAATTTCGTTATATTGAACACTTTACAAGAACAATATTGGTGACATTAAACCTTCTATTTGGCCATAAAAACTAACCCGATAATAGTTTCCTTTTTGCTTCTCTACTTTTTGATAATATTTTCTCTTTTTTCTTCAACCTATTCGATGTTAATTATTGACATTCCCTTTAAGGAATAGGAATTACTACTCTTGGTGTGGTTGAATTTGGTTTTTTTTTTTTTTAATTGAAAATTTGCTAGGGATACTTTTAGTAGAGTTCAAGAATGTTGCTTAAGAGTGTGTGATTGTTTTTACTGGATAGGTTTAAGGTTTTGTTTAATTGGAGACTTTGAATGAAATAGGAATTATTGCTTCTTGCCTCATTTATGGATTTAGAGGTGAGAATCTGAGTAATTGGACATTAAGTTTCGTTTTGTTTTCATAATTGAGAATAAATTTTGAAATTTCATAAAGATTTGATTTCCAGGTGGGAACTAATTAAAACTTTCATTTTGTTTGGATTTTATATTTTATTCATGGCAATTTTTTTCCCCAACTATATACTATTCTTTTATATATATATATTAGTTTTCATTTCTTGAATTTCAATATTAATTATATTGGGAGTAGTATAGGTTTCATTTTGGTCAACTGATATTTTACATTCAATTTAACAAGAAATATATATAGTCGAATGTTCCAAATTCTAAAATAATCATAAATTAAAACCAGGTTTCAATTAATGCAATTAAATTATTCACTTATTGCACAAGTACATGGTCTTAAAATATCTATATTATTTCATTAGCCAATAATTTTTGAAGTACGTTGTGTTGTAATCATTGTGATCTTAAGAAACAAATTACATATCTTGCACAGCATAAATTGTTTGATCAGGTGGGTTTTGCTCGCATAAATGGACATATAACAATGGGCATCAACATATTGAAATAAGCTATTTTTTACATTTACTTAACAAACTGATGAGCTACAGAAGGACATTTGCATTCCTGACCATTGCTATATTGGTGGTGGTGAGCTTAGGTCTCTTAATGCTTGGTTTGGTCCAGCTGGAACGGTGACCTCATTGCACCACGGTCCACACCATAATATACTTACTCAGGTAGTAAATATGTTTCTCTGTGCAATGCTCATAATGTGATGCTGCACTTTTTTCATGCATCTTTCTTCGCTAATATTTTCCCTCAGAGCTTTTACGCATTGATACTATGCTAAAGGTTCTTCTTTTGTGAGTGTTTGTGTGCATGTGAGTCTCATTTCATATGACTATGACTGTTACCCTTTGTTTGGATAATTCATCTTGGGAGGAAAGAAAAGAGAGAAAAGAAAGTGAGAGAAAAGAAAAGATGGAGGAAAGAAAATCATTTTCCATTTGTTGTTTGGATAAAGGTGGAAAAGAAAGGAAAGAAAATACATTTTCCTTGTTTGGATAATTGTAAAAAGAGGAAGGAAAGAAAATATATTATTGTAAATTTACTATAATACCCCTGTGATTATATTTCTATATTTAAATACTTATAATAAATTTGTATGAATATTTTTTTCATGAAAATAACACAAATGATAATAAAATAAAAATCTAGCATGTAACATATATCCGAAATGATAAGATAGATAATGAATCGTCTTCATAGAATAATTGATAACTCGTTTATTAATTAATTAATTCAATAGCCAATTTAGATTAATTATCAACATAAAATTAATTTAAATATGTATAACATATATTATTATCTATGCATATAATAAGTTAGTTGCTTTTACCCATCATTTTCTCCGCTTTTTTTATAGAATAAACAATTACTATTTAGCAATTAAAAAAAAAAAAAGAGTATATGGTAACATTGTGAACAATCATGAAAAGTCAATTGAATCACAAAAAATGAGACAAATCACAAATAATTTTTATTTCTTCTTTTGCAGTAACTCCAAAAAGTGTTCGAGAGGTCTGTCTTAAGGGATATTTTGTGTCTATTTTGATGGGGTTTTTTTGTGGTTTTGAATCTGGTATGGGGGTGTTTTTGGAGCTTCTTTGGTGGTTCAAATGGCCTTTCCAAAGAAGTTGCTCTGTAAGGGTTTTCATGGGCTATTGGTAACGGTTCGTAGTGAGTTTAGGGCCTTTTAGGTAGGTGTTGGGTCCGTTTTGGGGTTGGTTTTAGGCCTCTTTTTTTTTATGGTTTTTTGGGGTTTTTTTGGGTTTTTTTGAAGCTGGTTTGGGGGTGTTTGTGGAGCTTCTTTGGTGGTTCAAATGGCATTTCCAAAAGAGTTGCTCTGTAAGGGTTTTCGTGGGCTGTTGGTAATAGTTTCGGGATCGAGTTTGAGGCCTTTTGGGTAGGTGTTGGGTCTGTTTTGGGGTTGTTTTTAGGCCTCTTTTTTTAGGGTTTTTTGGGGTTTTTTTGGATTTTTTTGAAGCTGGTTTGGAGGTGTTTGTGGAGCTTCTTTGGTGGTTCAAATGGTCTTTCCAAAGGAGTTGCTCTGTAAGGGTTTCCGGGCTATTGGTAACAGTTTCGTGGCTGAGTTTGGGAGCTTTTGGTAGGTGTTGGGTCTATTTTGGGGTTGGTTTTAGGCCTATTTTTTGAGGTTTTTTTGGGGTTTTTTTGGGTGGTTTTGAAGCTGGTTTAGGGTTGTTTTTGGAGCTGCTTCGGTGGTTCAAATTACTCGTCCAAAAGGGTTGCTCTATAAGGGTTTTGGAGAGTCTGTTGGCAATAGTTTTAGAGCTGATTTTTTCAGCTTTTGATAGGTGTTAAGTCTGTTTTGGAGCTATTGTTTAGGGTGTGTTGATGCTTGTTTGTAGCTGTTTGAGGGCTAGTTTTGGAGAGGTGTTTCATGGCTATTTTAAGGGGTATATTATTTTTGTATTTTTGGGGGTGTTTTGGGTGTTTGATTTTTTTTCAATTATGCCCTTGATTGTCTTTTGAATTGCTTCCAACCCATTATTTTTCTCAATTAGCTCTCTTCTTTGAATCAATCTAAACTAGGCCATTCTAATTGCTCTTTTTGTTTTTTCTATTTTTTGCTTGATTTGTTTTATCATTTTTTTTTTTTTTTTGGTGTTTTTGTAATACTTAAAATAAATAAATAAATAAATGGGAGAAAAAATTATGTGTAAACACTACATATAATTAGGTAAGTTGTAGGATCAATTTGTACATACACATTACGGATAATTATGAAAGTCTAAGGTTTCGATAAGGTTGATTAACCATTCAAGTTGACATCAACATAGCATCTCAAATCCTTGCCTCGGATTCAGCCCTACCTTATTCGTACTTAACATCCAATCTCCCACCTACAAAATCCCTTCTTGAAACCACAAGCAACCCAACTTGATTCGGAAAAGCTTTGAACTTTGGATGCTCTAAACTCGAAAAGTACACGGACCCACAAGACTCATAAACCCAATTAGCTAAATGATCAAGCGCATAGTCAACCCGAGTCTTACTCGAGCTTGCCCCGGCGAAGTTTTAGGACACTTTAACTTTTTTCTTCAATGGCTGCAATAAATACGCGAAACATTACTAGATAGAAAATTAATATTTTGTATAATATGGCCTAACATAAGAAACAATGACACATATTACGAGATATACCAAAATTCATTAGCAATCCGTCCTAGCAAAATGTTCAGTAATTCTTGTGATCTACACCTACTACTTGTAATACCTATTGATTCAACATAAAGAACATCAAATTAAGAAGTCAAAATTGGACACGATATAACAACCATTAAAATAGTAGCCATGGTAATTTACTCTGCTTTAACCAGATAGTGGGGAGACAGACATGTTCTTACATTCTTGTCAGACATTAGAGGTCATCCATTGCGTACAAAAATCATTTTGACAAATGATTTCAAAACTTTTCCAGAGATTATCAACATTAATAGAGAACACTACAATCACCAAAAATACATGAATGACTCAAATTTCAACTTAAGTTCAACAACAATCCACAAGCCCAAATGACTAGTTGCTTAGTTACTGGACTAGAAGATTTTACAGCCCACTCAAAACCTTTGATCTGAGCCATCAGAGATAAAATTTCTTCAGCTCCTTTCAAAGATTTTAACAAAATTCGTTTCCATTTTTCTCATGGTGTAATTCCAGGAACATAAGGGACAGCAGGCTTGGGCTTCTTTATTTTTTCAACCAGCAGTGCTTGAGTTGTTAGAACTATCCCAGCGATTGAGACGGCATTTTGAAGTGCACACCTAGAAACTCTACAAGGATCTACCACCCCTGCATTCAGGAGATCTTCATATCTACCATTGATTGCATTGTAACTAGTTCTCCAGTCACGAGATCGAATATTCTCCACCACAACTGCTCCATCGACCCCTGCATTAGTTGCAATTTTTTTGCAGGTGCAAGAAGTGCCTGTAATGCATCATTGGCAAGTGTTACTATATCGGAGAAGAAATTTCCCTTCGAGTCATTTAGAAACTAGTACACGTGTTAGGTTTCTCCATGCTATGAACTGCATTTATAACCAATTCACAAAAGTGTCCCACTTTATCAGTAATTATAAAAAATCACCAACTAATGATTAGGGGGGCCTTGGTTCGTTTTACAAGCCTTGTGCACGAATCTGCTTTAGTATCAACCCCTATAGCACTTGCACGTGGTAACTAATTCACAAAAGCTGCTTGTTTCCATTTAAAATGCAAAATTCACTGATCCAAATAAAGAAACATACATAAAAGCACATCTCACAAAAGAAAATAAAACCATCTTAGATCAAATGCTAGTAAGGAAAAAGTATAGAGCAAATAACTTCTGGCAAAAGAAAAGAACCGAGAACAGACCTTTGCAACAATATCAGCACCGATCTTCTCATTTTCATCTTCCATGGAATCTTTTATTGAGGAAATCTGCTCCGAGAGATGAACATATGTTGCACCACCACCAGGTACTATCCCTTCATCCATGGCAGCAAACGTAGCATTCTTTACATCCTCAATTCTGAGTTTTCTATCTTCAAGTTCAGTCCTTGTTTGTGCTCCTACCTAAATTTTATGCACATTGCATGCTAAAAAGTTAAATATAAAGATCACTTTACAATAAAACAACACCAAACAAAAGATTAGAGGCCTGTCATTTGTCTTTATAATTCTTAAGGAAAACAGAGCAGAAAATTCGTTGAGCTTCATAATCAATCTCATCCAACAAGTCTTCAGCGTCATAGACAGCAACTTTAACATCATCAAGCCAGTTCTTAACAGCTGCCACAGTAATCTCCTTCTCCTCAGTATCAATGACCAGGCCATTGATAGAATTCAATGTTTCTGCCAACGTTTCCATCAGTCTGTTGTCAAGCTTTCGGCGTTTGAAGAAATCCAGAACTAGGGGAGAATCCAACTTCTGCACCAAAAGATCAACGACGCTGTTGAGAAATGCTGATCCAATTGCAGCAACTACAGCCTCCATAGTGATTGTTTGTAAAGGGGTGCGAGTGCGAGTGTGAATAAGAAAATGGTGATTGGGTCTCCTTTTTGGACCTTCGAAGTATCAGTGTTGTTTGCAAAGGGGTGCGAGTGCGAGTGTGAATAAGAAAAATAGGAGAGAGATTGTGAACTTTTGCTTCCAGTATTCAGGATGATAGAGATCTGTTCTGCAGATCTGTTATGTGGAGAGGAAATGAGGGGGACGGCTGCGAGGGCGAAAATGCGAAAACAAAAAAAAAAAATTTCTCTCAGCCTTTTCTCCCCGTTTCCTCCCAATTTTGGGAGGAAAATAGATCCCACCATTTTTGTATTGTTTTTTTTTTTTCTTTCCATTGCTTTCCTCCCTCTTCCCAAACGGCAGAAACATTTCTTTTCACCCCCGTTTTCTTTCCTCTCCCCCACTTTCCACCCTATCCAAACAAGGGGTTAGTCCCTAAAATCTATAACTTTTGTTATGTGTTATTTATTTAGGTCAGTTAATTTTCCTTCTAATGTATGTTTACTAGATTTGGCAGCCAATATGATGTAGAATATAATATTCATGAAGCTACCTGTTTCTATGATATAATCACTTAATGTTGCATGATGCAGATCTCTTCTCATGTTGTAGGCTACAAGTGTTGGATTGAAATAACTAAAGGCTATCAATTCGATGTATGATGGTCCTAATATAACATTCTAGACATAATGTTAGTGTTGTTTCTGCTTTGCAATCTGTTTGTGATACTAGACCCCTAATATTAAAATGATGGAATGGATGAAAACAAAAGGATACTAATTTGAAATACAACAGTTATGATTTTGGTGGTACCATTTTCCCTTATTTATGTTTCTTATGCTTCTTTTGTTGCATGTAATGATGATTTTCTTTTTAGGCTTGTGAAGGAGTGGCCAGGACTTCTCCTTGATAATCACGTACAATTTTTTATATATAATTTTTCTTTTTAATTTGTATTAAGTTTTTGCTTTTTATGCTTCCCGTATTAATTTTTTATCCACAAAATTTTCTAATGTGGGATCAATGGGTATTTTTTATGCAGCTTTTTTCTTTTTTAAGAAAAAAAGACCTAAAATTTAGCCATTTAAATAGTTAAAATTCAGCCAGAGAGGCACCCAGACTCTACAGTGCCTTTAGCCATCTCACCCTGCTACATGAAGATTCAGATTTCACATAGGATAAGAATCAAACTTGCAGTTGCATGCTTTAATTAAATAAACTATAAATCAATCTCTTTATTTTGGAATAATAAATTAGATAGTTCTTTTATTTAAAAAAAAATCAATATTTAATTATTTTTGTCTTTTTATGCTATTTTTTAATTTATTTTCCTTTTTATTTTAAAACATAGAAAAAACTAAATTTATATTATAAAAATATTTTAAAAAATATTTTATGGAATAAAATATATTACATTAAATATGATGAATACTAGTTAAATGATTATTTTTTGAAACGAAATTAATAAATTAATTCATTTTTCAAATATAAAGGGATTAATATATAATGTATTGACTAATATATAATTTATTCTCAATTATTCTCATTGTGTTTATCTTGCGTGCAACATATTCAGAGGCTTGCAAATGCAGGCTTTAATCAAATAAATTATAAATTAGTCCTTTTAATTAGGAAAAAAAATCATTGGTTGGTCTTTTTTCGGGAAAAAAAATTATTTAATCATTTTGTTTCCATTTTATGCTATTCTCTAATTTAGAAAAATTAGAAAAAGTAAAAATATCATGAAATGATTGATGAATGAAAAATAAAATTATGATTCACAAGTATATGGTTAGGGATAGTATTACAACTCATAAAGTTTACAAGTATATAGTTATTTATCTTATGATTAAGATGATATCTCATCGTACCAGCCTATTTTAAATTCATAATGTTTTTTTTTAAAAAAAAATGGATCTTTTATGACTGCTTTATTGTTTGAGCATTTAGATTTAAGAGGACAATATAATTACGATTATAATTTCGATAGAAAAGGATCACAACATTAACAACAAAACAATAACTATTATTATGATTTTTTACGATGATATTTTTGGAAATTAATATTTTGTAAGGTGCATATTAAAATTTTAGTGTATTATATATATATATATATTTGTGACTTTAATGCATTAGAAGTGTTATTATCTATTTTTTATAATAAATTCAACTATTATTGTATGATATTAAACTATTAGAGATGTTATTACTTATTAGTATGCTTAATTAATAAAATTATTAAAAATATATGAATTATAAGAAATTTATCAATAATTGCCAATATATTCACAACATCGATTGCTGCAATCGTTATTTTACTATCTTAATAATCTTTTATCTACAATAAGCATTAGTACTCTACTCACGATGAGGTTTTTATCACGTGGTTAGGGGTGCATATCTAGTTATGGATTTTAGTATTATTATGAAAAAACTTATTAGTTTATTTAAGCTTCAATGCTCCTTTTAAGTCATGTTTATGATTTTGTTGAATCTATTATTGTTTGATTGTATTGTAAAAATTTGTGATACAAAGATCGTGGAACAAACCATAAAACACTCCTTTTTTATTGCAAAATGACCCCAAAAAAATATTAGTGGCATAGTCAATACCAACATTAAAAAATAATCGAACTTAACTCATTATATATCAAATGTAACATTTTAATATATTTACTGATCCCCCGATGTAGTAGCGCGGGTTATCAACTAATTGGATCCTAGTTCAAAAAACCATAATTAAGGATTATACCGTCCTGTCAATTTACGGCGAATATTTAGACCTGGCTTTCTCCAAATGCGGCGATAAGGAACGAGCAGCAGCAGTAACACCGGATGCCAGTTTCAAGATGCTGTGTTCCATGAAGCAAAATTCTATATCTGATCTAGTGATGGTTATCTTTGGGTCTGTGACTCTGGTTCCTTTGCCAAAGAGGATAAAGGTCGACCACCGAAGTTGACCCCAGGAAGCAGGACTTATCTTGTGGGGTCTAGTGCTCATGGGCTCATGTTGGTGGAAAGGCTATACGTTACGAAACATGTTTCTCGCGCAAACATTGACCAGTATTGGACACCTGGATCTAAGTTGTACAATCTGGACACGCAGATATAAGTGGTCCAAGATTGCAAGTTTGGATTATCACGTGTTGTTTAGGGGCTAAATATTCCATCTCGGAGTACTCCACAATTAGAAGGAAATCACATATATTTCACCGAACTCGACTATTTGATGTTACATGACATTTATAATGGTGTAGGAGGATTTGACTTTGGCATGTTCAATCTGAAAGATAAACACTACCATCAATTACCCGGCGACAAAGCTTAGCTAAGGCTACTTAAATCACATGGCCATGAAACTCAGAAGTTGTTAGTTTGGCCAACTCGTACCAAATCCTCGCTAGAAGTATCTTGTGTTTGTGCACTTCTCCTGACTATGTATACGTTGCATATACGTGAGTAACTTTTGAGATAGCAAATATTTAATAATCTTGTTTTTCCCTAATGATAACTTTAGGTTTCCAATTTCAATTTGGTTCAATCTGGCTAGGTCCAGTTTTATGATTTGCTTTATAATTTTTTATTAATCAATTAGTTGACAAGTTTAAACTTCCATTTCAATTTGAATATTGTATTAGAGAAAACGCATTAGTAGCATTGCTGCAAAACCGCTACAAAGAAATTGCGGTGAAACAGAGATACAGAAACTGAAGCTAAACACCGGTCCATAAGGCCCACCCCAAATTTTTGTTAGTGCATCTGCAACTAAGTTGGTTTCTCAGATTGGAGTAATAAATACAACTTCCTTGAAAACAAGTCTGAGAAATGGAAGTGTTATGAAAGGATTCAAGCTACCCTGAGAATAGGCTTTTCAGGTTCAGCAGCTGCATCAGGGCCAAGCATCTATCTTATTGAAGTTCAAACTAATAGATACATCTTGAATGGAAGATTAGCAAAAGACTGCCTCATGCAATGATCGTTGCCTAATTCAACGAAGCTTGTCTAGCAAAGTTGACTTTTTTTAAACCAAAACATGCACAGCACTTAACCACAACCAAGGGAGGCTCATTCATGTTGGAACAACTAGAGGTCCCATAATTGTGTCTGGTTTAGCTCGAAGAGGATCAGCTGAGTCTATTCGCTTACTTACCAAAGTTATTTATTTTATATATATATATATATTTTTTTTAAGGTGATAAATTCAATTAAGGTCGCTAGAGAATTGATGATTGTGCTTTCAAGATCAATCTTGGCCTCTTTTAGCATTAATTAACGTTATGTTATGAGGCAGCTAAAAAGACTTAATTTTGGGTTCAAACCTGATCTGACCAACGACCAATTGGTACTAAAAAAGTCATACTCAAGGATAATTAATAGGGATTAGGGTCCTCTAATTTTGGAATTAGCTTAAATGGAATCGTAGTCGTACCAGGAATTATTTGTTCATCACAATAGAATACATGTCGCCACCTCCTTTATGTACCTTTCCAGTTCTTTGTTTCAAACCATTAGCTATGAAAAGGTTTCTTTTGAAGTCTCCTTCAAGATTTGTTTAGGTTACAGAAAAGCAGTTGCAGACATGGTTTTCTGGGCAACGCTGAATAACTAAAAGTAGCCACTTCGATTGTGGTTACTATACTCAATAACTTAAAGCCAGAACGAACCACCCAAATCCACATGGTTGATCAAAAAAACCCCAGTGAATTGTATGACCAACTGCAGTCCAACTATAAACCCTCAAGAACCTTTACAGTCTTGATAACAAACTAGCTAGCTCATAAATCATGAAGGGCTTATAGAAATGACATTATCAGAAGAAGCAATTGATTTTATCTTTTCATTTTCCTGGTGGAGCTCATTTCATCTCATATTGCATAACCTATAACTGATCAAATGTAAATTGACAACTCAAGACCAGATTTCTGTTGCAAGGAACCATTCACAAGAGCCATGCTATTTGTGCACAGAAAACATAGAGCATAAGTGGTCCTACCTATGTCGTGTTCAGCTTCTAGGGCTATTACTACTATGAACCACATTTCTTCCTCATTTCCTAACCAAACAGCAAGCGTCCTCTTATAGTGCCTGGTTTAGGTTGAGGAGGATTTGCAAGCTGTATTAGCTTCACTCTTCAAGCTACAACACAAACGCCTTCCCAAAGCCATCCACACAACCGGCCAACATGCCATTACAAACATGACATTCAATAAAGAAGTGAACGTGTGACCAAAAAAATGATTTTGTAAAAGTTTATCAAACAGGGGAGGCTCAATCACATTCACTCCTACACAAGACCTCTAACAACAACAGAATAAGGTAAAAGACAGATTTGAGTAGCCAATTGAATTTGTCAATAAACTTGAAATTGAATCCCGAATGAACAACCCTTCAAATCTACATACCTGACCAAAATGACCTATTTATCCCATCATCAAAATCTAATTGACAAAACCTAAACCCAACTCACAGCCTTAACAAGCAGCAACCTAGCTATGGACTTATTAAAATTGCATAATCACTACATCAACAAGGGATAGAATTCTATCAAACAACTATGACATGAAAAGTAATGCGAGACCAAGGTACCATATAACCAAATATAGGCAGTAAAGATATCTTTCTTAAATTCAAGATCGAATCTTTTGGGCATGTCTTAGAAAAAATCCATTATCCAGTATAATCCATTTATCATATAACTAAAATGTTATTAAAAAACCAACTTCCACAACTTTAACAAGAAGCAACTTAACTAAAAATTGATTTATTGCAATGTCATTATCACAGCTGGGAAACACAATTTATAAAACAACTAACATTAGACCAATGTGCCACTGCCACTACAAAAATTCACAATCAAATTGCTCCAAATTCACCAAACCCAGATACGATTACACATTACTCAATAAAAATTTCATATCTTATCTCAAGACTGAAACTTTCTTGTAATTGCTAATTCAACATTAAAACTTGAAACCAGTCAAAAAAACTAACACGTTAAGCTACACTCTATCACTACAGAAGCTTATCTTATTCAATTCAAGATTGAAATTTTTTATTTGATGGGGTAATTCAAGCTTGAAACTTGAAACAAGTACACAACATAAAAAAACAAAACACAATAAACCAAAACCTCTGAGAAACCCAAAACATCGTTAAAAACCCAGAAATGTTTAGACACTAATCTAAATTCTTAACAACCTTAATCCCCATAGTATTAGCAGTACCAATAATAGACTTACAAATAGACTCAAGAGACATATATTGACAATAAGGGTCTGATTGTTTCACCTTAGCAATCTCATAAACATGTTTCAACGTCACTGTAGATGCTTCCACGTGTCCTGGTCTTCCACTACCTGACTCAATCCCTGCTGCTTTCTTTAAGTACCATGTAACAGAAGGTGACTTAACTGTAAACTCAAAAGTGTTGTCTTTAAAAGCTGTTATGGTAACAGACATGGGAGTGTCTGGTTTGTACTTTTGAGTTCTTGCATTGAAGTCTTTGCAAAAAGCCATTAGATTTAAACGGTATTGACCTAATGCTGGACCAACTGGTGGTGCTGGTCTTGCGCCGCCGGCTGGGACGGTGAGGCGTATGGTGGCTGCCACCGGACGGCGGGTTAAGATCTCTTTGAGGGTTGTCATGGTGTGGGTTTTCTGGAAAGAGAAATGAACAGCGTTTGAAGGGTTCTATTTTGTTGGAGTTCGGGTTTTGGGATTCGGCTCTTTTCATGTTTTTACTTATTGAGAATAACCTTGGCCCAGCCCATGTACAATTATTAGGTGTTTTACATTTTTGTTGTACGTCATCAAATACAATAAAAGATTCTTAATTTCTTTTAATGCAGAAATTACTCCTCCTTTTTTTCCCTCACTTGTGATCGAAAAAGGAGGAAGAAAAATTATATTAAATGATAAATTACTATATTTATTTTTTGTATTTGAATGCACTGATATTTTTTTTTATGATAAATTACTATATTTATTTTTTGTATTTGAATGCACTAATATTGATTTTTTTTTTAAGTTACCATAATGTCAGTATTTTTTTTCGGAAAAATAATAGCACATGTACATTATAACAACAACATGAAAACGTTATTCTAAAAAAAAATGAAAATATTAAAAACATATGATTTAATATTATACAAACTTTTTTATAAATTAACGATTGTATATTTGACAAATTATTATGACTCTGTATGAAAAATTAAGATAGTGTAAATAATAAATATAATGCTACGTTTATGAATTTAGGTTAAAAAAAGGAGAAAAGAAAATCCTAAGCCCTTATGGATTAAAAACTATGTTACCTTATCCCTCACAAATCAATTCAAAATTACTGGTCATTATAAATTATAAAACTTTAGATTCAATGCTTTGTTTTTTAGAGCTTTGCACACCCAACTAGCATATATGTCAGCTATCCTAAACTTGTATTAAGTTAATATAACTAAAGTTAGCTTAAGTGGTGATCAAAACTTGTCTTAAGTTAACCTGACTAGAATTAGCTTAAGTGGTGATCAAAGTAAACAAGTATAAACCTAAGATGTGATGATTTTGTTAGTATAATAGGGCTAAATATTCTAGAATTGTAAGAGGAAAAAAAAAAAAAAAAAGATAGAGAGAAAAAGGAGAGGAAAAAAAAACTCCCTTACTGATAGCTAATTCTGCATAAAAAAAAAAAACTCCATTGTGTTTCTGTCAATACCTACACTTTTATTATTGTTTTGGGCGCACAAAAGCTAATTATTCAGCCAATAAAAGTGATAGTTGAGCTGGACATTTGGTAGCAAATAGCAGGCGAAAGAAGAGAAGATTTGTTGCTAATAATCATTGAAAGAACGCTAATAAAGAGCAGAGATCCCCAAAGTAAGCAACATAAATTCAATTTCTATCCAACCCCCCTATGTTTTCGAGTGAAAATTATGATCTCGAAGTATAAAGACGAGGACTTTGCTCACTTCACTAGATTTATGGGAGATGGTAAAGATTGAATTTAAATAACCTAAATCAATTGATGATTTACCTGTGACACAAATGAGAGATTTGAAGGATAAAAGAGATTGAAATACAGGAGCTTTTGGATTAATTCAGAGAGGAACAGCTAACTCCATCTTTTCAAGAATCATGAGAGCCACTCAAGCAAGAGATATTATTAATCAAATGTATGGGAGATTATACAACGTGAATATAACGGAGATGCGAAGGTAAGATGTATTAAATTGCATAGTGTTAGAAAAGGGTTTCAAAATTTGAAAATAAAAGATAATGAATCGGTTGAAGAGTTGTCTAATAGGCTTGTTGAAATTATTAATCAAAATGAAAAATTGTGGTGAAGAAATTAGTGATAGAAGAATTTTAGAGAGAGTATTGATTAGTTTGCCCAAAAAGTTTGATCCTATTGTGGCTATTATTAAAAAGATTGAGGATTTGTCTGAGTTGAGTATTGAAGAATTAATGAGTTCCTTAAAATCCTATGAGAAAAAGCTAGTACGATGCTCTAAAAAATCTATTGAGTGCATGTTTCAATCTAAACTCACTTTTGGTCATCAACACCAAGAAAAGGGATCATCAAGTGGCTAAAATAGAGGTTTTTAGTCATTTAATTGAGATAGACAAACTAGCAGAGACAAAGGTAGAGTAAGAGGTGGTTGTTTTAAGGAAAGAGGCAGAGCCAAATTTGCAAATAGAGGAAGCTTTAATAATAAACCAAGCATAGATAACTCCTTATAAAGGTATTTTCATTGCGACAAGCTAGGACATATTGCTAGAGATTGTTGGCAAATAGGAAGAACTTAATGTTACAATTACAAAACACATGTCAAAAGATTGTAGATTAAAAAAAGGTGTCAAGGCTATGTTTGTTTGGGAGAAAACAAGTTTCAAAATTTTGTTTTTTTTTATTTTTCGAGTGTTTGTTTTGCATTTAGGAAAAAAGTCAACGTGAAAATGATAGAGTATTTTTTCAAAAATGTTTTTTCAATTTAAAAAGAGGAAAATATTTTCCTTCTTACGAGTCGTCTCGCTCTCGCGTTACTTACTTCTCTCTCGATATATTTTAACAATTTTTTTCTCTATCTTCTTTTTATTTAAAATATATCAAATTAATTTTTAATTATTCTTTATCAATTATTATTTAATTATTTTTTCTCTATTTCTACTAATATTTGATAATTTGATTATATACATTAAATATTCTTAAAAACCATTTTTATGCCTTAAATTTATTTTTATAATAAATATTTCAATAATTTATCTTTATTTTTTTACTTTTATTTCAAACACCACTTACACCGTACTTAAATTATTAAAAAATTTTATTACAAGATTTTAATTTTTTATTAAAAAAATTAAAAATTATTTATTTATTTATTTATTTTCTCAACACTATTCATTTACAACTCGAATCAATAATTTGTAATTTTAATCAGCTTGTAAATTTTTTTGGTAATTGTAATGAGTAATTAGTTACAAAGTATTCCAATATCAATCTTTTGAAATAAAATGAATAATTATTTACAATGATAACTAATAATTTATAAAATTATTTTTTAGACTAAATTATCGGTTCAATTTCTATATATATATATATATATATATATATATATATATATATTCTTAATTGAGTTACCAAAATAACAATGCTAGGATTACTTAGAATTTTTTTTTAATTAAACGTGGATATTGACTTGATTTTGTCCCAAGTAATTTTGATGAATTGGTTTGATGGTTAAAAAAGTACATTTTATTTTTTTTGAATTAAAATGTTAGATTCAGTATTTATGAAAATTTATTAAATTTTTCTAAATGTATCTTATATTGTGAAATTAAGAATATGCCTTTTTGAGGTTTTCTCAAAAAATTTTGATGTAACAATCACATACTATTTTTATATTTTAATTTTATATATCAAATAAATGCTCGAAATATATTTTTCGAGTAGTTTTTTCATATAATTACCAAATGACAAAAAATATTTTTTTGAAAAATAATTTTTTGAAAAATAGTTTCCTCGAGAATTGATTTTCCTATGAAAATTGCTTTTCGCCAAACAAACGGAGCCCAAGTAAGTTATTTAGAAGAGAAGAAAGATTAAGGAAGTTTGTTTCATGCTTGTCAAAAGGCAAGTGGCTCATTGATGGGGCATGCAACAATCATATGATAGAAAATAAAAGTATTTTGAAACATCTAAATACTAATCTCAAGTCTATAATGAAGATTAAAAATGGGGATTTAATTGAAACTAGTGTTTGGGCACAATTAGAGTCCCAACAAAGAAGAGAAAATAGGTGATATATAAAGTTCTACATGTTTCACAAGCAAAGGATAATTTATTAAGTGTTGGGTAGCTTATGGAGCATGAGTATGTGTTTTATTTTAAAGGAAACTAATGCATCATTTATGACAAAAAAGTGTGTCAAAACAAGTTTTGGAACGAGTCTAGATGGTAAATAGATGTTTTTCACTCAATCCGAAGCATATAAAAGATGTGGCAAAGAATATAAAAGGAGAATATGACTTTTGGCTTTAGCATAAGAGGTTTGGTCATTTACACGTCAACAACCTCAAGTTACTTGATAAAAAATTATGGTATAGTGACCTCTATTTATTAAGAGGATAATGATGTTTGTTTGTAAAAGGTGTGTACTTGGAAAACATTATTGATAATCTTTTTCTAAAAGACTAGTATAAAAAGCCAAACAAAAACTTGAACTAGTGCATACGGATGTGTGTGGTCCTATGAAAACTTCTTTAAATTCACAATATAAGTACGTTATCCTCTTTGTTGATGATTATAGTAGAATGAATTGGGTTTATTTTATGAAGCATAAGTGTAACACCTTTGACCTAGGACCTAGATAGGTTGGGAATATTACCGTTGTGCCTCATAGTGAATGTAAGAGATAAGGCACTATTTCCTTCTATAGTATTATTAGGTATGCTTTATGCTCTGCGAAGCCTATCAAATAACCTATAGGTCCAACTTACCTTGCAAATGTCATCCAAAAATGCACTATTAATTTTTTTTCATTCTATTCTTATAGTTTGAACTAAAATAATTGGATCCATGTTTCTTAGTTTTATCAAAAAAAATTTCTATATGTCAAAATAAATTCATTTAATCGATACTCATTATTCGATCACCTACCCTTTTTACTTTATTATTTATAATATTTTAATAATTTAATTACTTGTATTACTTTTATCATTATTATCGAGTAGTAGTGTATAGGAAAAAAAACTAATAAAAACTATTGAAACTACAACTACACATTACTATGCCATTACATATTTTACATATCCAAAATCGGTTGATGTACAACCTACTTTTCTTTTTACATAACCATCAATTTCATACCACTCTACTACAAAAAGTGATTTATTTAATTGCACATTTATTTTCCCTTTCTTTTTCTAGGCGTGCATCTACCTATTCATTATTTTCACGATCATGTAAAACAGAGTGGCCATACCTAAAACATACATCAAAATATCAAGCATTAAGATCAAGATAATGTGGAGTAGGTTTAGCTTACATTGACGAGATAAGATATACTCGATAAACCAATGGGAGTGATCCTTCGCAATTAGCTTGACGAGAGAACATGGCCATCGGTATTTACCTTTAGTCCCTATATCAC